CGGAACACTTTCCTCTGTTTCTTACTCTTGATCTTTCTGGATCGGTCGATGTTTGCCCATATGAGGGGGGGGAGGGTTAAAAGACAAGTTGGCATCATAATCTAGGACTCCTGGGGGGATGTTTGTTTTTTCATTAGTGTGGGCAGTTCGCTGGTTTGGTTCTCGTTGGGACAATCGTGATACACCGACATCCAGGAGCTGTTGTCGTAGTTTAAGCTCCCTACGAGCAAGCAAGCGAGACAATAAACTACCGCACACGCGTGTGGGTGCATCCACAGCCACAGCAGAAGCAACACCGCACCGAGCGACGATAACATGTATCACCACACAACGAATAAGACAAAGCGCAGGGTTGCTATCCACACTGCAGCAGAGACCAGAGTCAACGCGGGGGGGGGGCAATAGCGAGGCAATATAAGAAACAACAGAAAAGAGCGAAAACACCCAAAACGATTTTTTTTTTTGTCGTGTAGCTCACCGCGGCCATGTCGTTGTTGCTGACAAACTCCCTGAGCACGTCCGACTGCTCGCACAGGCCGCACACCGAGCTCCGGACACACATCCACTGGCACCCGCCGTGCCTCTTCATCCCACAGCCCTTGCACACCATCGGCAGATACTCCTTGCCGTCCTCGCCGTTAGGCTGGGTCTACTTGTTGTCATCGCGCGGGAGGGAAAAGTTGTTGAATCATCAACAACACAAGTGGTAGTATACCCGGTAACCGGTGTGCGTGTGTATGTCTACGCTATTGACATCGACCGCGCCAATAGGCTGACCAATAAACATACGTCAGGTGTACACCTACCCCCCGCCCCCTCCCGAAGCCCACTCCCCAAGAAGACACACACACGGGCCGTCTCACATGAACCATGCACATCACGCAGCGCTCTTCCCTGGCGATAATCTCGTCCCTCCCCCTCAACCCCCTCAGCCGATTCTCGGTCCTGATCTGCTTCCAGTCCCCTCCGGCCCCCGCCCCCTCTAAGGGATCCGGACCGATCCTGACCCTCTCTAGCAAACCCCGGCAGAGAGATCGGAGGGCGCTGAGGTGGGCCTGAACCTCTCGAGCCTATGCATGCGTGCGGTTTGGAGTGATGCGGTGTGCGCGCGTTAAGTGTGTGCGTGCGTGTGTGTGTGTTTTGAAATGGCATCGACCACGATACTATAACCGGCTGACCAATGACAATACGACAGCCTTGTGCATACAAATTTCAAATATGTGTGCAACACAGAAAAAAAAATCCAACACGTTCCTTTCCCCATCCGTTGTAGAGGCTTCAACACATGCATCCCTTTCGACCGGGGAAGTATCTCGATGTTATAAATATCGATTGTAGAATGCATAAATATTGCTTAACATTGCGAACACGCTTTCTGCAACGGGAGCTCCGTCGAAGGGGGAAGTCGCGGTGGAGGCTTGACGAAAGGCGATCAATCTAGCCTCTCTCCGCTCTAAGAGTACTCGCAAAAGGAAGATACATACTATGTGGGTGAGTGTTGTTTTCATTTCTTCTTCGTCACCACAAGGCACAACAGTGCGAACGGGTTTCAAGGGCCAACACGATACTGTGACCGGCGGAAGGACAACGAAAAGGAAGTAGCAAGTAGACAAACAGCCTGCCTCTCACGGCGAGTCTACGCAATCTCCGAAGAACCCGCAACAAGTTTCAGTCAGCCTCAAAACAAACCAACACTCCGCCCTTGACCATAAAAGTACGCAAGTATCCCGAAAATATTGAGCGGAACCGACCAATGCACACTCATCTCCGGGAAACTCGGCGACCTCCGCTAACGTTGGCAACGACTCACGTGTCTCTCGACGTTGGCAGGCCACTTCTGGGTATGCGGAACGAGGTAGAGCAGCCAGTAAGCGCACACGAACTGCATCTCGGCCAGGGACAGCGCTAGCTCTTCGGCTACCTGCACCCTTCGCTCGCGAGACAAACGCAACCAGGTAACCCCCCCGGACCGTGCGTGTGCGGGTCGGCGTGGATGGCGGATTTCCAAGTCAAAAGGCGAGCCGCGGAGGAGGGGGTAGGGGAAGAAAAGAAGGCCGGAGTCAGAAACATGAGCGTGCGATGGAAAATCGAAAGCCGAAGATACGCACACGCGATATGAAAGGGGAACAGGGAGAGCACACCGCAAGGGAACGAGCAGAGGTCTACTTCCACCAAGCAAGAGGGTATGTCCCTCGCATACATGTAAGTACGGTACTGTAGACGGACGGAAGAGAAGCTCGTCTACGGAGCTTGCCACCGACGGCTGAAAAGGAGGCCTACGCGCGTGGAGGGGGGCTGTCTGCCTACACAACACCCAGGCTATACTTGGTGAGGAAAGGATGTCGAGGTCACAGGAAAACCAACCGACCAAGCAACACGTGTACCTCATTCTGTGCAATCCATGCTTACCCCAGAGAAGACACAGCCATACACGACTTCATAAGTCGCGAGGGAAGGGATTGCTGTACCCTTCTCGCGATAAAAACATCTCAGGCAGGAACTGCAGGAGNCTATGTGACCCCGGTTGGGTCGTCTAGCTGGTAGAAGTGGAGGATAGGGGCCAGAGGGGCAGACGACAGAGTGAAATGATGGGAGAAAAGCAAAGCATGTGGAAGATACAACGACGAGGCAGCCGCCCATGCAGTCCCTCGCTAGATTGGTGTCCAAAAAAGCGCGCTAGAGGCGGTCACGGCCTACTACCTTTGATCCCGGCCTTTCTGCCCCCTAGCGATCCTCTTTGCTACGATGGCCGCGACGGCCATGGAGGGGTGAAGAGCCCTCGATACACGGAGCCCCGCAGCATTGGACATGGCGATGTTGCACATCCTTCGACGGGACAATGGGAGAGGGGGAGGGGAGGGGGGGGTGTACTCATAGTCGTGCATGCCGTAGTCGTTAGACCATTGACCTCGCATCCCTACAAAGCCGGGACGGAGCACGCCGGGTTCTCACCGGACCAGGCTCTCACATCACCAAGCGCGAAGCGCCGTGAGATATTCGGCGAGTCGCATGAAGGGTGCGCTGCATCCTGCTAAGGGTTTTCGGCATCTTGTGCTTACTTCCTTGCGTACGGATGACAGCTGCGTATGACTTAATTTATTTTCTGGTGCTTTCACTTCCAGAGACAGTTGTAAGCACTGTGTAACTGCCTCGAGGGTGCTTGACCATTTTAACACAACGTGGTGCGATCATCCCCCTTGCGCGGAGTGAGGGTTCTCCACCCCGCACAATATGATCTACTCGACTACCATTATGGTTACCGCCAAAAAAAGAACGGAGGAAAAAAAAAAGAACGGTAACCTGGTTGCCGA